TAGGACACAGTCAATATCAGTTGGAGGGCGGGAGACACCTGTAGGACACAGTAAATATCAGTTGGAGGGAGGGAGACACCTACAGGACACAGTAAATATCAGTTGGAGGGAGGGAGACACCTGTAGGACACAGTCAATATCAGTTGGAGGGCGGGAGACACCTGTAGGACACAGTAAATATCAGTTGGAGGGCGGGAGACACCTGTAGGACACAGTAAATATCAGTTGGAGGGAGGGAGACACCTACAGGACACAGTAAATATCAGTTGGAGGGAGACACCTGTAGGACACAGTCAATATCAGTTGGAGGGAGGGAGACACCTGTAGGACACAGTAAATATCAGTTGGAGGGAGGGAGACACCTACAGGACACAGTAAATATCAGTTGGAGTGAGTGGGACACCTGTAGGTCACAGTAAATATCAGTTGGAGGGAGGGAGACACCTGTAGGACACAGTAAATATCAGTTGGAGGGAGACACCTGTAGGACACAGTAAATATCAGTTGGAGGGAGACACCTGTAGGACACAGTAAATATCAGTTGGAGGGAGACACCTACAGGACACAGTAAATATCAGTTGGATGGAGACACCTGTAGGACACAGTAAATATCAGTTGGAGGGAGACACCTGTAGGACACAGTAAATATCAGTTGGAGGGAGGGAGACACCTACAGGACACAGTAAATATCAGTTGGAGGGAGACACCTGTAGGACACAGTAAATATCAGTTGGAGTGAGTGGGACACCTGCAGGTCACAGTAAATATCAGTTGGAAGGAGGGAGACACCTACAGGACACAGTAAATATCAGTTGGAGGGAGTGGGACACCTGCAGGTCACAGTAAATATCAGTCAGAGATCTGTGAGTAAGATGTGTCTGTGATGTTTAGATCTGTGATCTGTCACAGGGATCTATCAGTGGGATCTATCAGTGGGATCTATCAGTTTGATCTATCAGAGGGATCTATCAGTGGGATCTATCAGTGGGATCTATCAGTGGGATCTATCAGTTGGATCTATCAGAGGGATCTGTCAGTGGGATCTATCAGTGGGATCTATCAGTGGGATCTGTCAGTGGGATCTGTCAGTGGGATCTATCAGTGGGATCTGTCAGTGGGATCTCTCAGAGGGACCTGTCAGTGGGATCTATCAGTGGGATCTGTCAGTGGGATCTGTCAGTGGGATCTATCAGTGGGATCTGTCAGTGTGACCTGTCAGTGGGATCTATCAGTGGGATCTGTCAGTGGGATCGCTCAATGGGATCTATCAGTGGGATCTATCAGTGGGATCTGTCAGTGGGATCTATCTTTCAGATTTATTAGTACGATCTGTCAGTGGGACCTGTCAGTGTGATTTGTCAGTGGGATCTGTCAGTGGCATCTATCAGTTAGATCTGTCAGTGGGATCTATCAGTCGGATCTGTCAGTGGGATCTATCAGTGGGATCTGTTAGTTAGATCTGTCAGTGGGATCTATCAGTTAGATCTGTCAGTGGGATCTATCAGTTAGATCTGTCAGTGGGATCTGTCAGTGGGATCTGTCAGTGGGATCTATCAGTGGGATCTGTCAGTGGGATCTATCAGTGGGATCTCACAGAGGGATCTGTCAGTGGGATCTGTCCGTGGGATCTATCAGTGGGATCTATCAGTGGGATCTGTTAGTTAGATCGGAGAGTGAGATCTGCCTAAGATCTGTCAGCGTGATCTGTCAGCAACCTGTGAGTGTGATCTATCTTTGTTTGTTGTTTAATGCTGCACTCAGCAATATTCCAGCTATATGATGGTGGCCTGTCTGTTATCAGTCTGACCATGAGTGTGATCTATCTTTCTTTGTTGTGTAACGCTGCACTCAGCAATATTCAAGCTATAGGATGGTGGCCTGTCTGTTATCAGTCTGACCATGAGTGTGATCTTTCTTTGTTTGTTTGTTGTTTAACGCTGCACTCAGCAATATTCCTGCTATAGGACGGTGGCTTGTCTGTTATCAGTCTGACCATGAGTGTGATCTATCTTTGTTTGTTGTGTAATGCTGCACTCAGCAATATTCCAGCTATAGGACGGTGGCCTGTCTGTTATCAGTCTGACCATGAGTGTGATCTATCTTTGTTTGTTGTTTAACGCTGCACTCAGCAATATTCAAGCTATAGAACGGTGGCCTGTCTGTTATCAGTCTAACCATGAGTGCGACCTATCTTTGTTTGTTGTTTAACGCTGCACTCAGCAATATTCCAGTTATAGGACGGTGGCCTGTCTGTTATCAGTCTGACCATGAGTGCGACCTATCTTTGTTTGTTGTTTAACGCTGCACTCAGCAATATTGCAGCTATAGGACGGTGGCCTGTCTGTTATCAGTCTGACCATGAGTGTGACCTATCTTTGTTTGTTGTTTAACGCTGCACTCAGCAATATTGCAGCTATAGGACGGTGGCCTGTCTGTTATCAGTCTGACCATGAGTGTGACCTATCTTTGTTTGTTGTTTAACGCTGCACTCAGCAATATTGCAGCTATAGGACGGTGGCCTGTCTGTTATAAGTCTTACCATGAGTGTGATCTATCTTTGTTTGTTGTTTAATGCTGCACTCAGCAATATTGCAGCTATAGGACGGTGGCCTGTCTGTTATCAGTCTGACCATGAGTGTGACCTATCTTTGTTTGTTGTTTAACGCTGCACTCAGCAATATTGCAGCTATAGGACGGTGGCCTGTCTGTTATCAGTCTTACCATGAGTGTGATCTATCTTTGTTTGTTGTTAAATGCTGCACTCAGCAATATTCCAGCTATAGGACGGTGGCCTGTCTGTTATCAGTCTGACCATGAGTGTGACCTATCTTTGTTTGTTGTTTAACGCTGCACTCAGCAATATTGCAGCTATAGGACGGTGGCCTGTCTGTTATCAGTCTGACCATGAGTGTGACCTATCTTTGTTTGTTGTGTAACGCTGCACTCAGCAATATTGCAGCTATAGGACGGTAGCCTGTCTGTTATCAGTCTGACCATGAGTGTGACCTATCTTTGTTTGTTGTTTAACGCTGCACTCAGCAATATTGCAGCTATAGGATGGTGGCTTGTCTGTTATCAGTCTGACCATGAGTGTGACCTATCTTTGTTTGTTGTTTAACGCTGCACTCAGCAATATTGCAGCTATAGGACGGTGGCCTGTCTGTTATCAGTCTGACCATGAGTGTGATCTATCTTTGTTTGTTGTTTAACGCTGCACTCAGCAATATTGCAGCTATAGGACGGTGGCCTGTCTGTTATCAGTCTGACCATGAGTGTGACCTATCTTTGTTTGTTGTTTAACGCTGCACTCAGCAATATTCCAGCTATAGGACGGTGGCCTGTCTGTTATCAGTCTGACCATGAGTGTGATCTATCTTTGTTTGTTGTTTAACGCTGCACTCAGCAATATTCCAGCTATAGGACGGTGGCCTGTCTGTTATCAGTCTTACCATGAGTGTGATCTATCTTTGTTTGTTGTTTAATGCTGCACTCAGCAATATTGCAGCTATAGGACGGTGGCCTGTCTGTTATCAGTCTGACCATGAGTGCGACCTATCTTTGTTTGTTGTTTAACGCTGCACTCAGCAATATTGCAGCTATAGGACGGTGGCCTGTCTGTTATCAGTCTTACCATGAGTGTGACCTATCTTTGTTTGTTGTTTAACGCTGCACTCAGCAATATTGCAGCTATAGGACGGTGGACTGTCTGTTATCAGTCTGACCATGAGTGTGACCTATCTTTGTTTGTTGTGTAACGCTGCACTCAGCAATATTGCAGCTATAGGATGGTGGCCTGTCTGTTATCAGTCTAACCATGAGTGTGACCTATCTTTGTTTGTTTGTTGTTTAACGCTGCACTCAGCAATATTGCAGCTATAGGATGGTGGCCTGTCTGTTATCAGTCTGACCATGAGTGTGATCTATCTTTGTTTGTTGTTTAATGCTGCACTCAGCAATATTGCAGCTATAGGACGGTGGCCTGTCTGTTATCAGTCTGACCATGAGTGCGACCTATCTTTGTTTGTTGTGTAACGCTGCACTCAGCAATATTGCAGCTATAGGACGGTGGCCTGTCTGTTATCAGTCTGACCATGAGTGTGACCTATCTTTGTTTGTTGTTTAACGCTGCACTCAGCAATATTGCAGCTATAGGACAGTGGCCTGTCTGTTATCAGTCTGACCATGAGTGTGACCTATCTTTGTTTGTTGTTTAACGCTGCACTCAGCAATATTGCAGCTATAGGACGGTGGCCTGTCTGTTATCAGTCTGACCATGAGTGTGATCTATCTTTGTTTGTTGTTTAACGCTGCACTCAGCAATATTCCAGCTATAGGACGGTGGCCTGTCTGTTATCAGTCTTACCATGAGTGTGATCTATCTTTGTTTGTTGTTTAACGCTGCACTCAGCAATATTGCAGCTCTAGGACGGTGGCCTGTCTGTTATCAGTCTGACCATGAGTGTGACCTATCTTTGTTTGTTGTGTAACGCTGCACTCAGCAATATTGCAGCTATAGGACGGTGGCCTGTCTGTTATCAGTCTGACCATGAGTGTGATCTATCTTTGTTTGTTGTCTAACGCTGCACTCAGCAATATTCTAGCTATAGGACGGTGGCCTGTCTGTTATCAGTCTGACCATGAGTGTGATCTATCTTTGTTTGTTGTTTAACGCTGCACTCAGCAATATTCCAGCTATAGGACGGTGGCCTGTCTGTTATCAGTCTGACCATGAGTGTGATCTATCTTTGTTTGTTGTTTAACGCTGCACTCAGCAATATTGCAGCTATAGGACGGTGGCCTGTCTGTTATCAGTCTGACCATGAGTGTGATCTATCTTTGTTTGTTGTTTAATGCTGCACTCAGCAATATTGCAGCTATAGGACGGTGGCCTGTCTGTTATCAGTCTGACCATGAGTGTGATCTATCTTTGTTTGTTGTTTAACGCTGCACTCAGCAATATTGCAGCTATAGGACGGTGGCCTGTCTGTTATCAGTCTCACCTTCTGGACCACCCAGCCATGGAAAAGCGCAGCCTCATTGATGGTTTCGTCTCGAGTGGTGGTGAGAAGTGGGTCCTCGTCGGAGAAGATGGCTCGATATTGTGTGATGATGTCAAACAGATGTACACGGCTCAGCTCGATCGTCTTGGTAATGTGGGCGTACGCTGTAACAAGCAGTGCAAGCTGAGGACATACATTAGAGGGTAGTGCTGGGACGATACACTGATGCATCGGTGGATTGCGACTTTTTTACTTCTCGATACAAGCATCGATCACGTCGCACACAAGGGCTGCAACGAATACACTATGAGGTGAATATGATTCATATCACGAATATAGGGTAACGAATACAAATATTTATTCACGAATACAATGACAAGTCAGCAGTTGATGTACAATTTATTATATTCAGTGAAAAATAACAACATTAATTATTTGACACGGTTGGTTAATTATTGATATATTATACATTCATATACTGCATTTATCCAGGGATAGTATCTGCTCAAATACTACAATGACCGATGACCACAATACTGTCAAATTATATATATGAGTGTTATCTTTGAAGAAATCTCTGCATATAAGATGTTCTTAAGGATATTTTTAGGTACACGGTATGTAGATGCACATGACTGCATATTCATAAATATAAAATCCATGGACCACGAATAACGAATTCAATTCATGAATGGATACTGTTCGATTCACCGAATACGCGAGTGAATCGTAACAGCCTTATCGCACACTAAGTAAAAAGTATCGATTTCTACCTTAAATGTTTGCTTAAATAACTGTTACACTTATTTTAGTAATGAAAGTTTGTAGTAAAAACGTAACTATTTTCATTCATTGTGCCATACTTCACACTGCTGACTGTAAATCGGGTATTTGGTCATCCTGTCTATGAAAAAGATGACTTAGGGACCACAGGTAAGAGCACCTGCAAGTATCATGATACATATCGGATCGTAAGTAAGGTATCGTGGTACTATTGGCTCTCACAGTTGGTGTATCGTCCCAGCCCTATTGGAGGGTATGTGTGTAACTCTGTGTGTCTGGGTGTGTATGTTTTCGCATGCGCGCAACTGTGTGTGTGCAAATGTGAGGGTGTGTGTGTGTGAGGTGAGGTGAAATAGGGTTTAACGTCCCGTCCAAGATTATTGTACTTATATAGCGACGTGCATGTACGTTTGTGTGGCTGCTTGTACTAGTCTGGACTGATGCCGATTTATAGTGCTAGCACACTGAGATACCATGCGGCAGTTTAACATGAATACCCCACTCAGACACAGTATACTGACTCCGAGCCGACCAGTCCTTGTTTTAGCCCCTTCATGCCGAGCGCCAGACAGGGTAACAACAAGTACCATCTTTTAACCTCTTTTGGTATGACTCGGCCGGGGGATTGAACCCCGGGACCTTCTGCTCCACGGAGGCGGTCTGTAATGCATGGAAGGTGTATGAAAGTGTGTACGTATGTGTGATGGTGTACGTATGAGTGTGTGCATTGACAGAATGTGTTACACTGAACATGTGTATGTGTGAGTGACACTGAGCATGTTTGTGAGCGTGTGTGAGGGACCAAACATTTGATATTATCGGGGAAAAAAAGAATTCTTGAAAAATTAATTATGCTTCAGATTGTTGGGTCTGCCATGTGTTGTAAATTTTACATTAAATTGTTTATTTATATACTTATCCTATTTCACACTATGCATGAAACATACTTGAATAAAGTTTCCAGCTTCAAAAAACAATTCACCCGAACACATCCCAGCATCACAATGGTCACCACCCAAGCAAATGAGTCACGCACTGAGAAGGGCGTCCGGACAATTTTGATCTGTCAATCCATAAGCACCTTGCGCTCTCTGGACGACGGACGGTCCTACCAATCCCCGGATGAATGGCGATCCCGATAGATATGGTGATAAGTCGAACCCCAGAGGTCAAAGGATACCTTGACCTAATAACGTCGAATGAGCTGTCAATCTCTTGAGTGATGGCGATCCGTCCAAGACTGTCGATCCTGTGAGTGATGGCGATCAGTGGCGAAGTACAAATCCTTTGATTGGTGTTGAACTGTCATGGCATGGTTGGTTGTTTGTTTAATGCCGCACTCAGCAATATTCCAGCTATATGACAGCGGCCTATAAATAATCAAGTCTGGACCAGACAGTCAGGTGATTGACAACATGAGCATCGATCCATGCAATTGGGATACGATGACATGCTTCCACCAAGTCAGCGAGTCTGACCATCCGATCCCGTACATTAACTTTTTACAACAAGCATAGTCGCCTTTTATTGCAAGCATGGATTGCTGAAGACCTATTCTACCCCGGATCTTCACGGGTATGGTGAACTGTTGAATTATCAACCTGTCGTTCCTTAGAGAGATATTGATCCGATAAAGAACGATAATCAGAAAGTCAACCCACTGAATGTCTCGAGATCTCAAGGCCTTACCTTCTGCCTATCTATCGACTTGTCAATCCGACGAAGACAGTGATGTCTATACATCAATGTGTCAAGATGTCAATTCTTAAGTGTCGTGCTGGTAGATTGCCGTGGTGTGTGTCCCATGGTTAAGGTAGGGACTATGGTGATGGGAGGGATGTGTTGGGGTGAGATGTTTTTTTAGCTGGAAACTTTGTTCTAGGATGTTTCCACACCAGGATCAAAGAAGTAAAAAATGCATAGTGTGACATAGGATAAGTTTGGTGCGAGGTGTTTTTCTTATACCATGCCGCAGTTTAACATGAATACCCCACTCAGACACAGTATACTGACTCCGAGCCGACCAGTCCTTGTTTTAGCCCCTTAATGCCGAGCGCCAGACAGGGTAACAACAAGTACCATCTTTTAACGTCTTACCTTCTGCCTATCTATCGACTTGTCAATCCGATGAAGGCTGTGATGTCTATACATCAATGTGTCAAGATGTCAATTCTTAAGTGTCGTGCTGGTAGATTGCAGTGGTGTGTGTCCCATGGTTAAGGTAGGGACTATGGTGATGTGAGGGATGTGTTGGGGTGAGATGTTTTTTAAGCTGGAAACTTTGTTCTAGGATGTTTCAACACCAGGTGAGTGAGTGAGTTGGGTTTAACGCCGCTATTAACAGTATTCCAGTCATATCACAGTGTGTCAGCTTAATGTGGGAGGAAAGCCCGAAGTGATGCAGGTCTCAGACGTTTACCACTTGAGTGAAACCAATGAGCATGGGTATGGTGCTGACAAACCTAGAAACATAATCGGTGCGAACCCCCAGATTCGAACCCAAAATCATAGGTTTTCTGGAGTGCCCAAGGGACACAACTCTGCGCAGCGAATCGCGCTGCCTTAGACGACTGGGCCACCCGTGCCCCCTTCCACACCAGGATCAAAGAAGTAAAAAATGCATAGAGTGACATAGGATAAGTTTGGTACGAGGTGTTTTCCTTACAAAAATATTCAGGCTCATAGTTTTAATGAAAACAAATATCTGCTTTTGTAGCTGTAGCTGAAATATATCTTATCTCCAGACAATTCCCAGCCTTCCCCCCTATCAAATTGTCAGTCCCTAACACTGTACATGTGGGCGAGAGTATGTGGACGTGTGGGTGAGTGTATGTGGACGTGTGGGTGAGTGTATGTGGACGTGTGGGCGTGTGTAACACTGTATATGTGGGCGAGTGTATGTGGACGTGTGGGCATGTGTAACACTGTATATGTGGGCGAGTGTATGTGGGCGTGTGGGCGTGTGGGCGTGTGTAAAACTGTATATGTGGGCGAGTGTATGTGGACGTGTGGGCGTGTGGGCGTGTGTAACACTGTATATGTGGGCGAGTGTATGTGGACGTGTGGGCGTGTGTAACACTGTATATGTGGGCGAGTGTATGTGGACCCGTGGGCGTGTGGGTGTGTGTAACACTGTACATGTGGGCGAGTGTATGTGGACGTGTGGGCGTGTGTAACACTGTATATGTGGGCGAGTGTATGTGGACGTGTGGGCGTGTGGGCGTGTGTAACACTGTATATGTGGGCGAGTGTATGTGGACGTGTGGGCGTGTGGGCGTGTGTAACACTGTATATGTGGGCGAGTGTATGTGGACGTGTGGGCGTGTGTAACACTGTATATGTGGGCGAGTGTATGTGGACGTGTGGGCGTGTGGGCGTGTGTAACACTGTATATGTGGGCGAGTGTATGTGGACGTGTGGGCGTGTGTAACACTGTATATGTGGGCGAGTGTATGTGGACCTGTGGGCGTGTGGGTGTGTGTAACACTGTATATGTGGGCGAGTGTATGTGGACGTGTGGGCGTGTGTAACACTGTATATGTGGGCGAGTGTATGTGGACCTGTGGACGTGTGGGCGTGTGTAACACTGTATATGTGGGCGAGAGTATGTGGACGTGTGGGCGTGTGGGCGTGTGGGCGTGTGTAACACTGTACAAGTAGGTGAGTGTATGTGGACGTGTGGGCGTGTGTAAAACTGTATATGTGGGTGAGTGTATGTGGAGGTGTGGGTGAGTGTATGTGGACGTGTGGGCGTGTGGGCGTGTGTAACACTGTATATGTGGGCGAGTGTATGTGGACGTGTGGGCGTGTGTAACACTGTATATGTGGGCGAGTGTATGTGGACGTGTGGGCGTGTGTAACACTGTATATGTGGGCGAGTGTATGTGGACGTGTGGGCTTGTGGGCGTGTGTAACACTGTATATGTGGGCGAGAGTATGTGGACGTGTGGGCATGTGTAACACTGTACAAGTAGGTGAGTGTATGTGGACGTGTGGGCGTGTTGGCGTGTGTAACACTGTATATGTGGGCGAGTGTATGTGGACGTGTTGGTGGTCGTAGGTTGGAGTGTGTACATGTGAGTGTATGTAACGAGGTACTCACGGTCATCTCTAGGTACAGCCTCAAGGATTCCCTGGAACCAGGAGTCGCGAGCCTGAAGACAGAGGCCATGTCAGCACCAATTAGGAGATAATCCTGTTGTGTTTTGAAAGTTGAGGTAGTTTATCTGTAAATACCTTTTATTATAATTTAGCTCCCTGTAAATAATCACGGGCCAAACAAGTGTACGATATTACAAGGAATGCGCAGATCGGCCACAAGCCTAAGGTGCTGGGGACAAATCTGACCAGGAATCACTATGTTAGTGGTAGTTGTCGGGTGGGGCTAGGGTGGGGTCTGGTTGAGGTCAGGAATGGGTCATGGGGAGGTCAAGGTGGGGTCATGGCAAGTTCATGATGTGGTCAGTGGGGGGTAGGGTGGACTCACCTGAAGGAACTTGATGCGTAGCTCGGCTTCAGTGAAGACGTCCATCCTGCGCAGGAAGCCTATGACGCGGAGACAAGCCGGAAGCTGCAGGTTGGTCCGCAGCTGGTGGATCAGCTGGTTCAACATGAGCTGCGTCGAAGTCTTCACCTCCTCCACGATGCTCTGGAAGGAAGAGTGTGATACGCTGGTTATAACACATGTGAGTTCCGTTTCAGTGCTGATGGAGTATGACAGAAACACAAGTTCGGCTTCCACTGACTGGAGCATGTTGGACAGCTGGTGTACTCACCATGATCACTGGGATGGCAGCATCCACTGACTGGAGCATGTTGGGCAGCTGGTTTACTCACCATGATCACTGGGATGGCAGCATCCACTGACTGGAGCATGTTGGGCAGCTGGTTTACTCACCATGATCACTGGGATGTCAGCATCCACTGACTGGAGCATGTTGGGCAGCTGGTTTACTCACCATGATCACTGGGATGGCAGCATCAACTGACTGGAGCATGTTGGGCAGCTGGTTTACTCACCATGATCACTGGGATGGCAGCATCCACTGACTGGAGCATGTTGGGCAGCTGGTTTACTCACCATGATCACTGGGATAGCAGCATCCACTGACTGGAGCATGTTGGGCAGCTGGTTTACTCACCATGATCACTGGGATGTCAGCATCCACTGACTGGAGCATGTTGGGCAGCTGGTTTACTCACCATGATCACTGGGATGTCAGCATCCACTGACTGGAGCATGTTGGGCAGCTGGTTTACTCACCATGATCACTGGGATGGCAGCATCCACTGACTGGAGCATGTTGGGCAGCTGGTTTACTCACCATGATCACTGGGATGTCAGCATCCACTGACTGGAGCATGTTGGGCAGCTGGTTTACTCACCATGATCACTGGGATGGCAGCATCCACTGACTGGAGCATGTTGGGCAGCTGGTTTACTCACCATGATCACTGGGATGTCAGCATCCACTGACTGGAGCATGTTGGGCAGCTGGTTTACTCACCATGATCACTGGGATGTCAGCATCCACTGACTGGAGCATGTTGGGCAGCTGGTTTACTCACCATGATCACTGGGATGTCAGCATCCACTGACTGGAGCATGTTGGGCAGCTGGTTTACTCACCATGATCACTGGGATGGCAGCATCCACTGACTGGAGCATGTTGGGCAGCTGGTTTACTCACCATGATCACTGGGATGGCAGCATCCACTGACTGGAGCATGTTGGACAGCTGGTTTACTCACCATGATCACTGGGATGGCAGCATCCACTGACTGGAGCATGTTGGGCAGCTGGTGTACTCACCATGATCACTGGGATGGCAGCATCCACTGACTGGAGCATGTTGGGCAGCTGGTGTACTCACCATGATCACTGGGATGGCAGCATCCACTGACTGGAGCATGTTGGGCAGCTGGTTTACTCACCATGATCACTGGGATGGCAGCATCCACTGACTGGAGCATCCACTGACATGGAGCATGTTGGGCAGCTGGTGTACTCACCATGATCACTGGGATGGCAGCATCCACTGACTGGAGCATGTTGGGCAGCTGGTTTACTCACCATGATCACTGGGATGGCAGCATCAACTGACTGGAGCATGTTGGGCAGCTGGTGTACTCACCATGATCACTGGGATGGCAGCATCCACTGACTGGAGCATGTTGGGCAGCTGGTTTACTCACCATGATCACTGGGATGGCAGCATCCACTGACTGGAGCATCCACTGACTGGAGCATGTTGGGCAGCTGGTGTACTCACCATGATCACTGGGATGGCAGCATCCACTGACTGGAGCATGTTGGGCAGCTGGTTTACTCACCATGATCACTGGGATTGCAGCATCCACTGACATGGAGCATGTTGGGCAGCTGGTTTACTCACCATGATCACTGGGATGGCAGCATCCACTGACTGGAGCATGTTGGGCAGCTGGTTTACTCACCATGATCACTGGGATGGCAGCATCCACTGACTGGAGCATGTTGGGCAGCTGGTTTACTCACCATGATCACTGGGATGGCAGCATCCACTGACTGGAGCATGTTGGGCTGCTGGTGTACTCACCATGATCACTGGGATGGCAGCATCCACTGACTGGAGCATCCACTGACTGGAGCATGTTGGGCAGCTGGTGTACTCACCATGATCACTGGGATGGCAGCATCCACTGACTGGAGCATGTTGGGCAGCTGGTTTACTCACCATGATCACTGGGATGGCAGCATCCACTGACTGGAGCATGTTGGGCAGCTGGTTTACTCACCATGATCACTGGGATGGCAGCATCCACTGACTGGAGCATGTTGGGCAGCTGGTGTACTCACCATGATCACTGGGATGGCAGCATCCACTGACATGGAGCATGTTGGGCAGCTGGTGTACTCACCATGATCACTGGGATGGCAGCATCCACTGACTGGAGCATGTTGGGCAGCTGGTTTACTCACCATGATCACTGGGATGGCAGCATCCACTGACTGGAGCATGTTGGGCAGCTGGTTTACTCACCATGATCACTGGGATGTCAGCATCCACTGACATGGAGCATGTTGGGCAGCTGGTGTACTCACCATGATCACTGGGATGTCAGCATCCACTGACTGGAGCATGTTGGGCAGCTGGTTTACTCACCATGATCACTGGGATGGCAGCATCCACTGACTGGAGCATGTTGGGCAGCTGGTTTACTCACCATGATCACTGGGATGTCAGCATCCACTGACTGGAGCATGTTGGGCAGCTGGTTTACTCACCATGATCACTGGGATGGCAGCATCCACTGACTGGAGCATGTTGGGCAGCTGGTTTACTCACCATGATCACTGGGATGTCAGCATCCACTGACTGGAGCATGTTGGGCAGCTGGTTTACTCACCATGATCACTGGGATGTCAGCATCCACTGACTGGAGCATGTTGGGCAGCTGGTTTACTCACCATGATCACTGGGATGTCAGCATCCACTGACTGGAGCATGTTGGGCAGCTGGTTTACTCACCATGATCACTGGGATGGCAGCATCCACTGACTGGAGCATGTTGGGCAGCTGGTTTACTCACCATGATCACTGGGATGGCAGCATCCACTGACTGGAGCATGTTGGACAGCTGGTTTACTCACCATGATCACTGGGATGGCAGCATCCACTGACTGGAGCATGTTGGGCAGCTGGTGTACTCACCATGATCACTGGGATGGCAGCATCCACTGACTGGAGCATGTTGGGCAGCTGGTGTACTCACCATGATCACTGGGATGGCAGCATCCACTGACTGGAGCATGTTGGGCAGCTGGTTTACTCACCATGATCACTGGGATGGCAGCATCCACTGACTGGAGCATCCACTGACATGGAGCATGTTGGGCAGCTGGTGTACTCACCATGATCACTGGGATGGCAGCATCCACTGACTGGAGCATGTTGGGCAGCTGGTTTACTCACCATGATCACTGGGATGGCAGCATCAACTGACTGGAGCATGTTGGGCAGCTGGTGTACTCACCATGATCACTGGGATGGCAGCATCCACTGACTGGAGCATGTTGGGCAGCTGGTTTACTCACCATGATCACTGGGATGGCAGCATCCACTGACTGGAGCATCCACTGACTGGAGCATGTTGGGCAGCTGGTGTACTCACCATGATCACTGGGATGGCAGCATCCACTGACTGGAGCATGTTGGGCAGCTGGTTTACTCACCATGATCACTGGGATTGCAGCATCCACTGACATGGAGCATGTTGGGCAGCTGGTTTACTCACCATGATCACTGGGATGGCAGCATCCACTGACTGGAGCATGTTGGGCAGCTGGTTTACTCACCATGATCACTGGGATGGCAGCATCCACTGACTGGAGCATGTTGGGCAGCTGGTTTACTCACCATGATCACTGGGATGGCAGCATCCACTGACTGGAGCATGTTGGGCTGCTGGTGTACTCACCATGATCACTGGGATGGCAGCATCCACTGACTGGAGCATCCACTGACTGGAGCATGTTGGGCAGCTGGTGTACTCACCATGATCACTGGGATGGCAGCATCCACTGACTGGAGCATGTTGGGCAGCTGGTTTACTCACCATGATCACTGGGATGGCAGCATCCACTGACTGGAGCATGTTGGGCAGCTGGTTTACTCACCATGATCACTGGGATGGCAGCATCCACTGACTGGAGCATGTTGGGCAGCTGGTGTACTCACCATGATCACTGGGATGGCAGCATCCACTGACATGGAGCATGTTGGGCAGCTGGTGTACTCACCATGATCACTGGGATGGCAGCATCCACTGACTGGTGCATGTTGGGCAGCTGGTTTACTCACCATGATCACTGGGATGGCAGCATCCACTGACTGGAGCATGTTGGGCAGCTGGTTTACTCACCATGATCACTGGGATGTCAGCATCCACTGACTGGAGCATGTTGGGCAGCTGGTGTACTCACCATGATCACTGGGATGGCAGCATCCACTGACTGGAGCATGTTGGGCAGCTGGTTTACTCACCATGATCACTGGGATGGCAGCATCAACTGACTGGAGCATGTTGGGCAGCTGGTGTACTCACCATGATCACTGGGATGGCAGCATCCACTGACTGGAGCATGTTGGGCAGCTGGTTTACTCACCATGATCACTGGGATGGCAGCATGTTTCTTCTCCAGTCTGCGGACATGGGCTGCCAGCTCCAGGGCCTCCTCGTAGTAGCCGTTCCTGACACACGTGTCCATCAGCTGGGGCATCTCCAGCACCTCCAGTAACTGGGTGTGTCGCTGCAGGGTCAACGTGTTCATACGCCGACTGCAAACACACACACAATGACATCAGTGTCGCTGCAGGGTCGACGTAGTCATACACCAAACACTGCTCATAACATCAGTGTCGCTGCAGGGCCGATGTAGTCATACACCAAACACACAAACATAGCAAAAGTGTCGATGCAGGGTTGACGTATTCATACACCAAACACCGTACATAACATCAGTGTCGCTGCAGGGTTGACGTATTCATACACCAAACACTGTACACAACATCAGTGTCGCTGCAGGGTCGACGTATTCATACACCAAACACCGTACATAACATCAGTGTCGCTGAATGGTAGACAGATTCATACACCAAACACCGTACATAACATCAGTGTCGCTGCAGGGTCGACATATTCATACACCAAACACCGCTCATAGCACCAGTGTCACTGCAGGGTCAATGTGTTCATACGCTGTAAAGGAATAACACAACAGGACATTGGCACTAGTCCTGTAGTCCTGTAGTCCTTTCCAAACTGCCCAATAGTTAAAGTATCATGTTAGTTTCTACCGCTGATAGACATTCCCAGATAAATGGACAGACAGACAGAAGACACTGACACAGACAGACAGAAGACACTGACAGACGGACAGACAGAAGACACTGACAGACTGACAGAAACAGACAGACAGACAGACAGAAGACACTGACAGACAGACAGACAGAAGACACTAACAGACAGACAGAAGACACTGACAGACAGACAGACAGAAGACACGGACAGACAGACAGACAGAAGACACTGACACTCACAGACAGACAGAAGACACGGACAGACAGACAGACAGAAGACACTGTCAGACAGACAGACAGAAGACACGGCCAGACAGACAGACAGAAGACCCAGACAGACAGAGAGACAGAAGACACTGACACTCACAAACAGACAGAAGACACGGACAGACAGACAGACAGAAGACACTGACAGACAGACAGAAGACACTGACAGACAGACAGACAGACAGAAGACACTGACACTCACAGACAGACAGAAGACACTGACACTCACAGACAGACAGAAGACACTCACAGACAGACAGACAGACAGAAGACACTGACACTCACAGACAGACAGACACTGACAGACAGACAGACAGAAGACACTCACAGACAGACAGAAGACACGGACAGATGGACAGACAGAAGACACGGACAGACAGACAGACAGAAGACACTCACAGACAGACAGAAGACACTCACAGACAGACATAAGACGCTGACAGACGGACAGACAGAAGACACTGACAGACTGACAGAAACAGACACACAGACAGAAGACACTGACAGACAGACAGACAGAAGACACTGACAGACAGACAGACAGAAGACACTGACACTCACAGACAGACAGAAGACACTCACAGACAGACAGAAGACACGGACAGACAGACAGACAGAAGACACTGACAGACAGACAGACAGAAGACACTCACAGACAGACAGACAGAAGACACAGACAGACAGACAGAAGACACTGACAGACAGACAGACAGACAGACAGACAGACAGACAGAAAGAAGACACTGTCAGACAGACAGACATTCTCCTACCTGGAGCTGATCTCCTGGGCTTTCTTCACAACGTTCTGACATTCATCAGAGAAGGGAGGTAACTTTGTAAGCAGGTTGTCCACATGCTTCTCAATAATCTGGAACTAAAATATTGATTAAATAAATATACACAATGAACACTGCAGGCAACCATATGAATAATGAATGTACTCTGTACTCTGTATGTACTCTGCAGGCAACCATATGAATAATTAATGTACTCTGTACTCTGTATGTACTCTGTAGGCAACCATATGAATAATGAATGTACTCTGTACTCTGTATGTACTCTGCAGGCAACCATATGAATAATGAATGTACTCTGTACTCTGTATGTACTCTGTAGGCAACCATATGAATAATGAATGTACTCTGTACTCTGTATGTACTCTGCAGGCAACCATATGAATAATTAATGTACTCTGTACTCTGTATGTACTCTGCAGGCAACCATATGAATAATTAATGTACTCTGTACTCTGTATGTACTCTGCAGAAACCATATGAATAATTAATGTACTCTGTATGTACTCTGCAGAAACCATATGAATAATTAATGTACTCTGTACTCTGTACCATGCTGTATGTACTCTGCAGAAACCATATGAATAATTAATGTACTCTGTACTCTGTATGTACTCTGCAGGCAACCATATGAATAATTAATGTACTCTGTACTCTGTATGTACTCTGCAGAAACCATATGAATAATGAATGTACTCTGTACTCTGTATGTACTCTGCAGGCAACCATATGAATAATGAATGTACTCTGTACTCTGTATGTACTCTGCAGAAACCATATGAAAAATGAATGTACTCTGTACTCTGTATGTACTCTGCAGGCAACCATATGAATAATTAATGTACTCTGTACTCTGTATGTTCTCTGCAGAAACCATATGAATAATGAATGTACTCTGTACTCTGTATGTACTCTGCAGAAACCATATGAATAATGAATGTACTCTGTACTCTGTATGTTCTCTGCAGAAACCATATGTACTCTGCAGAAACCACGTGTACACTGCCGGCTACCATATGCATCACGAGACTAGGGTTGTACGTACATCTTGGAAGATCTCCTTGGAGCAGTCGGCGGTGTGGATGAAGGTTGTGTAGTTGTGGAAGGCGAGGTCCTGGGTCTCCGACAGGATCTGGGACTTCTCCTCCGCGAGTCTGTCAGGCTCCCGACTGAGCCGCTCCACTCCACAGGAGCTGAGCTCCACCAGATACTGCACAAAGTCAGGGTTGTCCTGCCAGCTGTCTGCAACACCACAACACACCATGACACAACTCAACACAACAGTCAGGAAAGTCAGGGTTGTCCTGCCAGCTGTCTGTAACACCACAACACACCATGACACAACTCAACACAACAGTCAGGAAAGTCAGGGTTGTCCTGCCAGCACCACAACACACCATGACACAACTCAACACAACAGTCAGGAAAGTCAGGGCTGTCCTGCCAGCTGTCTGCAACACCACAACACACCATGACACAACTCAACACAACAGTCAGGAAAGTCAGGGTTGTCCTGCCAGCTGTCTGCAACACCACAACACACCATGACACAACTCAACACAACAGTCAGGAAAGTCAGGGTTGTCCTGCCAGCTGTCTGCAACACCACAACACACCATGACACAACTCAACACAACAGTCAGGAAAGTCAGGGTTGTCCTGCCAGCTGTCTGCAACACCACAACACACCATGACACAACTCAACACAACAGTCAGGAAAGTCAGGGTTGTCCTGCCAGCTGTCTGCAACACCACAACACACCATGACACAAATCAACACAACAGTCAGGAAAGTCAGGGTTGTCTTGCCAGCTGTCTGCAACACCACAACACACCATGACACAACTCAACACAACAGTCAGGAAAGTCAGGGTTGTCCTGCCAGCACCACAACACACCATGACACAACTCAACACAACAGTCAGGAAAGTCAGGGCTGTCCTGCTAGCTGTCTGCAACACCACAACAAACCATGACACAACTCAACACAACAGTCAGGAAAGTCAGGATTGTCCTGCCAGCTGTCTGCAACACCACAACACACCATGACACAACTCAACACAACAGTCAGGAAAGTCAGGATTGTCCTGCCAGCTGTCTGCAACACCACAACACACCATGACACAACTCAACACAACAGTCAGAAAAGTCAGGGTTGTCTTGCCAGCTGTCTGCAACACCACAACACACCATGACACAACTCAACACAACAGTCAGGAAAGTCAGGGTTGTCCTGCCAGCTGTCTGCAACACCACAACACACCATGACACAACTCAACACAACAGTCAGGAAAGTAAGGGTTGTCCTGCCAGCTGTCTGCAACACCACAACACCCCATGACACAACTCAACACAACAGTCAGGAAAGTCAGGGTTGTCCTGCCAGCTGTCTGCAACACCACAACACACCATGAGACAACTCAACACAACAGTCAGGAAAATCAGGATTGTCCTGCCAGCTGTCTGCAACACCACAACACACCATGACACAACACACCATGACACAACTCAACACAACAGTCAGGAAAGTCAGGGTTGTCCTGCCAGCTGTCTGCAACACCACAACACACACTGACACAACTCAACACAACAGTCAGGAAAGTCAGGGTTGTCCTGCCAGCTGTCTCCCAACACCACAACACACCATGAGACAACTCAACACAACAGTCAGGAAAGTCAGGGTTGTCCTGCCAGCTGTCTGCAACACCACAACACACCATGACACAACTCAACACAACAGTCGGGAAAGTCAGGGTTGTCCTGCCAGCTGTCTGCAACACCACAACACACCATGACACAACTCAACACAACAGTCAGGAAAGTCAGGGTTGTCCTGCCAGCTGTCTGCAACACCACAACACACCATGACACAACTCAACACAACAGTCGGGAAAGTCAGGGTTGTCCTGCCAGCTGTCTGCAACACCACAACACACCATGACACAACTCAACACAACAGTCAGGAAAGTCAGGGTTGTCCTGCCAGCTGTCTGCAACAGCACAACACACCATGAGACAACTCAACACAACAGTCAGGAAAATCAGGATTGTCCTGCCAGCTGTCTGCAACACCACAACACACCATGACACAACTCAACACAACAGTCAGGAAAGTCAGGGTTGTCCTGCCAGCTGTCTGCAACACCACAACACACCATGACACAACTCAACACAACAGTCAGGAAAGTCAGGGTTGTCCTGCCAGCTGTCTGAAACACCACAACACACCATGACACAACTCAACACAACAGTCAGGAAAGTCAGGGTTGTCCTGCCAGCTGTCTGCAACACCACAACACACCATGACACAACTCAACACAACAGTCAGGAAAGTCAGGGTTGTCCTGCCAGCTGTCTACAACACCACAACACCCCATGACACAACTCAACACAACAGTCAGGAAAGTCAGGGTTGTCCTGCCAGCTGTCTGCAACACCACAACACACCATGACACAACTCAACACAACAGTCACGAAAGTCAGGGTTGTCCTGCCAGCTGTCTGCAGCACCACAACACACCATAACACAACTCAACACAACAGTCAGGAAAGTCAGGGTTGTCCTGCCAGCTGTCTGCAGCACCACAACACACACTGACACAACTCAACACAACAGTCAGGAAAGTCAGGGTTGTCCTGCCAGCTGTCTGCAACACCACAACACACCATGACACAACTCAACACAACAGTCAGGAAAGTCAGGGTTGTCCTGCCAGCTGTCTGCAACACCACAACACACCATGACACAACTCAACACAACAGTCAGGAAAGTCAGGGTTGTCCTGCCAGCTGTCTGCAACACCACAACACACCATGACACAACTCAACACAACAGTCAGGAAAGTCAGGGTTGTCCTGCCAGCTGTCTGCAACACCACAACACACCATGACATAACTCAACACAACAGTCGGGAAAGTCAGGGTTCTCCTGCCAGCTGTCTCCAACACCACAACACCCCATGACACAACTCAACACAACAGTCGGGAAAGTCAGGGTTGTCCTGCCAGCTGTCTGCAACACCACAACACACCATGACACAACTCAACACAACAGTCAGGAAAGTCAGGGTTGTCCTGCCAGCTGTCTGCAACACCACAACACCCCATGACACAACTCAACACAACAGTCAGGAAAGTCAGGGTTGTCCTGCCAGCTGTCTGCAACACCACAACACACCATGACACAACACACCATGACACAACTCAACACAACAGTCAGGAAAGTCAGGGTTGTCCTGCCAGCTGTCTGCAACACCACAACACACCATGACACAACTCAACACAACAGTCAGGAAAGTCAGGGTTGTCCTGCCAGCTGTCTGCAACACCACAACACACCATGACACAACTCAACACAACAGTCGGGAAAGTCAGGGTTGTCCTGCCAGCTGTCTGCAATACCACAACACCCCATGACACAACTCAACACAACAGTCAGGAAAGTCAGGGTTGTCCTGCCAGCTGTCTGCAACACCACAACACACCATGACACAACTCAACACAACAGTCAGGAAAGTCAGGGTTGTCCTGCCAGCTGTCTGCAACACCACAACACACCATGACACAACACACCATGACACAACTCAACACAACAGTCAGGAAAGTCAGGGTTGTCCTGCCAGCTGTCTGCAACACCACAACACACCATGACACAACTCAACACAACAGTCAGGAAAGTCAGGGTTGTCCTGCCAGCTGTCTGCAACACCACAACACACCATGACACAACTCAACACAACAGTCAGGAAAGTCAGGGTTGTCCTGCCAGCTGTCTGCAACACCACAACACACCATGACACAACTCAACACAACAGTCAGGAAAGTCAGGGTTGTCCTGCCAGCTGTCTGCAACACCACAACACACCATGACACAACTCAACACAACAGTCAGGAAAGTCAGGGTTGTCCTGCCAGCTGTCTGCAACACCACATCACCAGTTATATCGCGGTGTGTCAGCTTAATGTGGGAGGAAAGCCCGAAGTGATGCAGGTCTCAGACGTTTACCACTTTGGTGAAACCCACGAGCACGGTGTGGTCAAGTGGTCCACTGGCAAAAACTCCCTTAAAATCACTGGACACATTTTCTCTTCAGTATCACACACAGGATAATCTTTCTACAAATGTAAGGGCCTAATTGCAACTGTTTTGCGTAACAATAAATAAATAATGGTTTGTTAAGACTTCAGGGGTTGAAAAATACCATTGCCCGACGCCCGTGCCAAGTAAGGTTTAGATGTCGGGCGTGTAATATACGTTTTCTAGCATGCCCGTGGACAAGTAGAGCACACAAAATGAACTGGGTCAAGTTTCACGAGAATGTAATCATGTGATCATGTTACGGTATTTGATTGGCTAATATTTTGTTAGTGTCCCAGACTGACAATGTTATTTGCATACAGCTACGCCAGTCAACCAATGGGATTAATACATTTCGATGTCAGGCAGGTCAACAACGAGAACCAGGCTTGTTTCATTGTTAAATCGTAGTAACACTTCCATATATGGCACATGTTTCTTGGAAATGGAATTTCTTGGAAATTGTAACGTGAGGTTGAAACATTTTCCGACTTTAGATGCTTCGTTAGGCCTAGCTTTGATGAAATATAATTTTGTCGAACTACAACAAACGGGACTTTTAACGAGTGAAAGTATGGCATTTATTTAATATGTGTTTCTTTTCGTTGTCAACTAAAGTTCATTCGAGGCGTCAATAGCGATAACCTGACCGTGGCTGCTGTAAATAACAGCGAGTTGTGCGATCTATCGACCCCTTTACGCACGATTTCGGCAAAATTGATCTAAACTGTATTGAATGAAATTTTAAATAAAATTAATCAAATATGCTACAAACATATGTCAAGGTACAAACGTGTTATTTTTATAACCAGATAGTAATAATAGGATTTAATTGCGGAATTTGTTGATTGGTATTTCCTGTGTTGCGTGCAGGTGGTAATGTTTTTGCGATGGGGAAATGACATCGTGTCAGTGACTTGAGTTTACTAAAAGTGTATATAAGTTTTGGGAACCATGTGTTACCGCACACAATAACCGAGTTAGCGTTATATTGAAGAGTGCAATAGCGAGGGATCACTGTAAGTAAATCTGTTGTTTCAAATAAGTAAGCCAGTAAAGGACAGAGTAGTCTCCCTTTGCCTCATTAGCACCCAGAGGGGTATCTGCAATAACAATTTATATTGCCAGTACCGCACATGGCCGATCATGTCTCAGCGGTCTATTTTAAGTTTCTTTGGCGGTGGGGACGAACTTAAAAGGAAGGCAGAGGGAAGTTGTATATCGGCAAAGAATAAGAAGTATGACGAATGTAAACAAAAACGAACATTCATCGCTGGGTGGAAAGACCAGTTTCCTTGGGTTGCGTATGATGACACAGCGAAAGTCATGAAGTGCACCATTTGTTTCAAGTACCCAAACATACACGCTTGCAATCGTAAGAGAACGTTTATTGATGGATGTTCAAATTTCAGAATTTTATTCTCATTTCTGCAGCAGTAACATTTTACTGAATTTATTAGCTTGATTTTGGGCTAGTACATTTTAAAATTGGGCAAGTGAGAATGTTGGTCATACTTGCCCTTGGTCAAGTAACATTTTTAATAATTTTTCAACCCCTGGACTTAGTACATGTAGTATCATGGCTCAGTCTTAGTTGTCTAAGGTCTACTTACTGGGTGTTCTGTTATCCATGGTACACACTAACATTCTACACTGCATTATGTGTTGGCGATGAGGGTTAACATACTTCACATTAGGACTGTTTCAATTCACTTGTGTATTCGGTGAATCGAACCATATCCATTCATGAATTGAATTCATTATTTGTGGCCACTAGAATCAAATATTTATGAATATGCAATCATGTGCATTTACATACCCTGTACCTAAAAATATCCATAAGAACATTATTTGCATAGATATCTTCAAAAGACAACACTCTCATGATATTTAATTTGACAGTATTGTGGTCACTGGTCATTGTCGCATTTGAGCAGATACTAGTACCTGGATAAGTGTGGTATATAATCAATAATATATTAATAATTAACAAATAATTTGTTGTTATTGCTTTACTGAATATAACAAATATTACATCAACTGCTGACTTGTTATTGTATTCGTGAACTAATATTTGTATTCTTTACCTTATATTCGTTTTACAAATAGTATTCGCCTCATAGTGTATTCGTTGCAGCCCCACTTCACATACTTCACCGCCTCTATATGTCCGAACATGTGGGTAGTTTGCCATTGATTGGAGTAGTGCACTAACTTTACGGTTTGCCCCTTGTTTCTTTAATCATAAACTTTAAATTTTATTCCTTTTCATTTTGTGTCTCTAGGATTTGTAACCTGGCCAGGAGCCTCGCAGGATATGGCAAAAGATACTGCACCGGGAGAGAACACAATGCAAAGTATCGCAGTAAACTGCTGGCACTGGGCGCCTATTGGAGACGTTAGGTGCCTATTACAATGTCATGCGCATCATACCCGGGAAGATTCCGGGGTAGAATAGGTCTTCAGCAACCCATGCTTGCCGTAAAAGACAACTATATGCTTGTCGTAAAAGGCGACTAACGGGATCGGGTGGTCAGGCTCGCTGACTTGGTTGATACATGTCATCAATCCCAATTGCGTGGATCGATGCTCGTGATGTCAATCACTGGACTGTCTGGTCCAGACTCGATTATTTTACAGACTGCCGTCATATAGCTGTAATATTGCTGAGTGCGGCGTTAAGCAACAAACAAAACAAAACATCATGCACATCATTCCATGCAATATGACGTCGGTCTGTAAATAATCGACTCTGGACCAGACAATCCAGTGATTGACATCATGAGCATCGATCCACGCAATTAGGATACGATGACATGCATCAACAAAGTCAGGAGCCTAACCTCCCGATCCCATCATTCGCCTCTGACGACAATCATGGGTTGCTGAAGATCTTATTCTAAACTGGATCTTCATGGGTCTTCATCCTGCACTACAGGCTATAAACCACAAAAACCCTAAGGATCCAAGATGCACGGTATCCTGAGACAATTAGCGCCAGAAACTGCGCCCGGTAAACTGGATTGTTTCCCCATTACAACAGCTCACATGAACTATAGCAGACGAAGAGTTGTGACGTGTGTTCGCCGACTGTGGTCCCCAGCTCAAGGGCCATCCAGACACCCTAATGACTCTAGTTTGTCTTACAGTCCCGCTATTGTGATCTAGAGTATGCATTCAGTCATGACAACGTGACAACGAGTGACATTGTTACCTGGAAATGCATCCTTGAAAATAGATGTCAGAATGTTTTCATCTTCCACGTCCAGGGTCGCCATTTTGAAACAGGATACTAGTATCCCCACGACAAGTTTTGTACGAAATATTCATGTGTCTTTATTTTCTTCCAAACTTTCAAAATAAAAAAGAGTTAAAGCTAAATTATTATTTGCACAATGTTGATATTATTTTTGAGCTGTGATTAAGAAAGTTGGACAAAAAAATTCCTGAGCAGAAATAAAGTCAAACTGGCAATGATAAATTCGGCATTCAGCTCGATCTATAGTAATATGATTTTTCTGCAAATAATAAAAGTTATTTTAGCATTAACAGATATCCTTTTTTCAAATCATTATCACCGTTTTCAAACACAGTTTTTTTACTTAATCATTTATTTTTTTTACAATAGCGTGACCGGTACTGTATGTACTGCTTGCATGACTACTGTGTTATCTACCACTTCAATAATATAGCTGAGTGCGGCGTTAAACAACAAACAAACATCTTCAATAGTAATGTTATATTTTTAAAAATTAAAGTCCTTTCTGGGACTATATATAATGTTATAAGTATCATTCACATTAGGTTTTTGTTTCCTTCATTGGTAGAGGCTGAGATGGGTTTTTTTTCATAAAACATAGCTGAGAATTTCGTTTTAAATCACATTTCAAATTCAACATGTGGCGGATTGTTAGAATGTTCTCACTTTTCACTAAAACAGTACAGATTTGGGAGATTTTAAAACAGAACAATGAAAATCGGAGTATAATAAAGCAAAATTCTACCATGAATTTGGAACTTACTCGATTGTGATTAGTCAGTCAGAGGTTATTAAATCACAATAAACCCCCTCTGATTGAAACAGCTAGTTTGACGGCCGCGTCACCGCGGAAGCTAATATTTAAAGAATAGTACTATTTTCAGTCATTGTCGGTAGGCATATTTAAATATGTCTACAAGTTCATGTTACAAATGCGGTAACTACAATATTCAAAGTATGTTAGGCAATACATTTCGTGCAAAAAACACCATAGAATCTACAAAGGGAATGTATTTACGTTTTGAAGACAACAGAGGGTTTGGAATTTTGGCGCTTTTCTATATACGACTGTGACGTCATATCTTTTGCGATGCAGAGCGAAAGCCTTGCAAAGCTTGCTTTGTTCTTCCCCCGCCCTGAAGGCGGGGAAGTATACGGGAAAGGTTAATGTTATAGCATGTATGTCGAAATTTCAAGCCACGCAGTTACCGAAACGAAACATACAAATCATGTGCGTGAAATGTTGATGCTATTCTTTTCCAGCAATAAGAAATACTTCAAAATCGTCTGTATGTAGTTAATTGATGCACCTGACCGTTTCTGGTAATTAGCTGACATTATTATACCATCCGATGTCCCTTTTTCCTCTCGGACTAATGTTCTGGTTTGCACGGTGTATACGAAAGAAGAACTGTACTCCGGACATCATTTGTTGTATATAAGCCGTATACATGCTTATAACGAACTACGGTTATTACGAACTAAAATTACTGGTCCCTTTGAGTTTGTTATAACCGTAGTTTACTGTTTGACTTTTTGGCATATGGAGCCCTTAGTATTTTCATTTACATTATTATAACCAAATGCCAAGTGTAAGAAGAATGTGATCTATTATTTGAGTATATGCATCTGCCAATAGTGTTGGTAGTTTTAATACTATTTCCACATGTTTACATTTGAGCCAAAAAATGCTTCCATTTCCTTCGATCTACCTTTTTAATAAATACCCAGGTTAGAATAGGTCTTCAGCAACCCATGCTTGCCGTTAGAGGCGATGAACAGGATTGGGTAGTCAGGCTCGCTGATTCGGTTGATGCATGACATCATATTGCAGTTACGTAGTTCGATGCTCTTGATGTCAATCACTGGGTTGTCTGGTCCTGACTCGATTATTTACAGCCCACCGTCAAATAACTGTTTTTTTTAAATAGACCTACTCTATGCAAATGTATCAACTGTATTGCCAAATACTCAAAATAAATACTTAAAAATTTCCACAACCGCGTTCTGTTATTTGTGGTTAATATAATTATGCTCCTTCATGCCTTTCAGTAACATCATAATTATGCGTTTGTGAGGCATCACATATGGCGGTTTTGTTTTCTTTAGGGATGCCAACCTCATGTTAGCTTACCGAGTTGCCGTGCTTTTATGCTTTCAATGCCTGTCATATGATATGTTCGAGTGAAGTATTATGGTGTAAACAAACTGCTTGAGTATATACAGCGCCATATTTTTTTCGGTGATTCCGTATTTCAGATCGATAACTCACTCAAAACACTGGACTCAACCCATGCCGCTTCACTCAGTATATTTGCTAACACCAAAGAGTTCGCGTTTTATTTAGTCATGGTAGAATGGAGATAAACATACTGTGTTTTCAATGGGCGTTCGGTTTAATTTAGCGTGGTTAATCTACAGGTAACCTTGGTTTACATTGAAAACACAGTATCTCCTAAATAAAGATAATAAAAGACCACGTGTTACAACACCAGGTGCAGCAAAGCCCAGATTGGCAGAACACGGGTCGACTTGACATGTTTGCATTCACAACTGCTCGAGGAATGTATACTCTACAAAAAAAGAAACGCAAACGTGATTTTTAGATGTATATTTTATATATCATGTAAATATTCAACAGATGGTGTGTTCTACCAGTGTAGGAGACGTCCGCCCACATCATCACACTACCACCACCAAATCTGTCCACTTCCTGTATGCAGTTTCGTGCATATCGTTACCGAAGACGCCTGTAAACACAACGTACCACCATTCGCACCGCGAAGCATAAAATGTGTCAAATTTGTCGCCATCGCAGTTGCCGCCATACTCTGTGACCTTGACACCATTGACGTCGCAGCCGACGATGCAGGTCCGTCAATTTGACACATCGAACTGTTCGTCTTGCGCGAATACCTCTAACGCGTAAACGGTTCCTCACTGTCTGGGCGTATGTCCTACGCAATCCTGGTATTGCCGTAGTTGTAGAGGTGGCCGTGGAGGTTCTTTCACGTAAGTGACGGAGCCGTATGAATCTGTCCTGTGCTCTAGTAGTAATAGACCGCCTCAGTGGTAGAGCGTCCGCCCGGAGAGCGGAAGGTCCAGGGTTCGATGCCCGGCCGCGTCATACCAAAAGGCGTTAAAAGATGGTACTTGTTGTTACCCTATCTGGCGCTCGGCATTAAGGGGCTAAAACAAGGACTGGTCGGCTCGGAGTCAGTATACTGTGTCTGAGTGGGGTATCCATGTTAAACTGCGGCATAGTATCTCAGTGTGCTAGCACTATACATCGGCATCAGTTCGGACTAGTACAAGCAGCCACACACACACACACACACACACACGTGCATGCACGTCGTTATATAAGTGCAATAATCTTGGACGCGACGTTTAACCCCATTTCACCTCACCTCTAGTAGTAATCAGTGGTTGACCGGATGTGGAGAGGTCCCGTGTTGTCCCGTGCGTCTGATAACGCTTCCACAGTCTTGTAATGGTACATGAACTTGATGCTACGTGGAAAAAACTGTCTACAGCTGAAGATGATTCTCCTATTTCAGTCCGCCGTTGCGTTGTTACTTTTGGCTACCGTCAATCGCAGCATATTTTCGAAGTTCACTTTCAGTAAGATTGTGATAGCATGCAAATGACAACCCAAAGTTTTTATAGCCCAACAAGAAATGTTGCACGTGCATGCCATATTTGTGTGTTTCGGCGCCAGGCTCTCACGTGGTTGTGTTTTTGCGATTTTCCCATCTTTTCACCATGTTTCTGCAGTACCTCATTCTTTCAACACAAACCGATCACAATCCATGCAGAAAGGATGACTTTACTGTTGGTACTAATTTTGTATGGATGTCAGCAACACTGTCAGATATTTACGATTTTACTATTTTACATATTTGTTTTGCAGAGCATACTTTTCAATTACTAAGTTGAGGACGATGGACCTAAATAACCTAACTTTGGACGTCAACTGAAGAAAAAAAGAAACGTTACCAAACTAAAATGTGGACACACTGGTGCAAACCGCGAATAGTTTTCAAAATAGTTGAGAATCAATCGCCCAAACGCAACCAAAACATTTTGCTGAGCATTAACGTGCTTCAGTACCCAGATCAATGGAACTTGAGTTTGAACTGCAACTTTGGCTGCACTTACAGCAGGCCAGCCTACAAGGATATGGGTATAAAAGGAACGACGTGCTGTTCATTCACATCCAAACATGCATGCTAAGATTAACCCTACAACAGAAAGAACGAGCTGTCGGTATGATACATCAATTGAGTGAGTGAGTTGGGTTTAACGCCGCTTTTAACAGTATTCCAGTTATATCGCGGGGTGTCAGCTTAATGTGGGAGGAAAGCCCGAAATGATGCAGGTCTCGGACGTTTACCACTTCGTGGAACCCACGGGTATGGTGCTGACAAACCTAGAAACAAAATCGGGATGAACCGGGATTCGAACCCACAATCATAGGTTTCTGGCGTGCCCAAGGGACGCAACTCTGCAGAGCGAATCGCGGCGCCTTAGACAACTGGGCCACCCGTGCCCCCGATACATACCGACCCCACTCAGACACGTATACCGACCCCACTCACACACGTCTACCGACCCTGCTCAGACCCCACTCAGACATGTCTACCGACACCACTCAGACACGTCTACCGACCCCACTCAGACATGTCTACCGACCCCCCTCAGACACGTATACCGACCCCACTCAGACACGTCTACCGACCCCGCACAGACATGTCTACCGACCCCCCTCAGACACGTATACCGACCCCACTCACACACGTCTACCGACCCCACTCAGACACGTATACCGACCCCACTCACACATGTCTACCGACCCCCCTCAGACACGTATACCGACCCCACTCACACACGTCTACCGACCCCACTCAGACACGTATACCGACCCCGCACAGACACGTATACCGACCCCACTCAGACACGTATACCGACCCCACTCACACACGTCTACCGACCCTGATCAGACCCCACTCAGACACGTCTACCGACACCACTCAGACAC